ATTGCCGTCACAAAGCTAATCGCTGAGGTTCTTGAGAAAAATAACTTACCTGCTGCTATATTCACTGCTTTCTGTGGAGGAGCTGAAATTGGTGAAGCAATAGCAAAAGACACACGGATACCCCTGGTTTCGTTCACTGGAAGTTCAAAGGTACACTGGTCACATACATGTGCCCTTTAACATTCTAACTCCCATCACCCTGGTGGCTATTGCTTAAGTTCCACATTCCCAAATATAGGTAGGTGCCAAAGTGCAACAAATTGTCACTGAGAGGTTCGGTAAATGCTTACTTGAATTAAGTGGAAACAACGCCTTAATTGTCATGGATGATGCCGATGTTGGGCTGGCAGTGCGTTCTATCTTTTTTGCAGCCGTTGGCACTGCTGGTCAGCGCTGCACAACGTGCCGTAGATTGGTAACTGTTTGTATAAGAAATTCCATTTGTGTGATTTGATGTGGTTATAACAGTTGAGATTTTTTTTCTTGAAAATAATATATACAAATTTTTTTTTTGTGCATGTACGGTGTCATGGACTGCAGTATCTCCATGAAAGTATATATCAAAATGTGTTGGATAAACTAGTTGGACTTTACAATCAAGTCAAAATTGGGGATCCTTTAGAGGAGGGAACTCTAGTCGGACCAGTACATACTAAGGCGTCGAGGGAGAATTTTGAGAAAGGGATTTCAACCATAAAATCTCAGGCATGTTCTATGCTCTTGGAGAAGCGTGGACACCCACCCACACACACACACAGTCCCCAGAGGAAAATGGATTCTTAAGTTTTACATGACGTAATTTATTTTTCAGGGTGGAAAGATCCTTACAGGCGGATCGGTTATAGAGTCGGATGGCAATTTTGTGCAACCAACAATTGTTGAGATTGCTTCAAATGCTTCTGTGGTGGAAGAATTGTTTGGCCCCGTTCTCTATGTTATGAAGTTTAAGGTGGTCTAACTTATGAAAAGTTTCTCTTGCATTATTGTTTTTTACGCGCTTCTTCCCTGATAAATGTTGCGGCTTTTGTTTGAAAATGTGCAGACTCTTGAAGAAGCAATTGCACTGAACAATTCAGTACCACAAGGATTGAGTAGTTCAATTTTCACAAGCAAGCCGAATACTATTTTCAAATGGATTGGGTAAGTGTCTATAATGGCTAATGACACTTGAAAGTGACACTAATTAAGAGATTATACAATGAATAGGTCGTACTCAGTGCACAAGGCTCCCGCTTTACGCAGGGTATGGGAGAGGTGAATGTCGGCTAGCCTTACCCCCATTCATGGAGAGGCTGCTCCCAAGTCTCGAACCCGAGACCTACCGCTCATGGGCGAAGGCACTTGCCATCGCACCAAGTGCGACCTCTAGATTATACAATGAATAAAATTTCAAATTACAGTGTTTAATAGTTTTGCTTTCGAATACGATGCAGGCCACATGGTAGTGATTGTGGTATAGTGAATGTAAATATACCTACAAATGGAGCTGAGATTGGCGGTGCCTTTGGTGGAGAAAAGGCAACTGGCGGTGGTCGTGAAGCAGGGAGCGACTCCTGGAAACAATACATGAGACGTTCAACATGGTAATCTTTCGTTAAGCCTACGCATTTCCTAGAATATCTACACTGATCATTGGACTGTTTCATGGTTATTTCATCAATGACGTGAACAATTCTTATCCTTTGACAGTACAATCAACTACGGGACTGAACTACCACTTGCTCAAGGTATAAATTTTGGCTAGTGAACCAGGCATCACTGCAAAGCTCGGTCTAATCTCTCGGGTCATGACATGTCAAGGAAGGTACATTCTGCAGAATGTGCTGTGTCATGGTTACGAACTTACGAGTACCGGGCCAGCTTGAATGCGCTAAAATGAAACCCGAAACAGATGTTTATGATGATTGGTTTCTGGGGTGCCAGATTTCTAATCTTGATAAATAAATGGTCTTTTCATTTTTCTTTTCTCTGAGAAATAAAAGCAGTCTTTATTAAAATGGTTATGCTTTGTGCTTTGCGGCGCTTCTGCTTTTTGCTTTTGTTAAAAGTCCATCTGTGAACTGATCAAGTATTCATCATAAGTGTTCAATGATTGTGGTAGCATAAAGCCTGACTTTTTGCTGCCAAGATTGAAAGGGCAAGTGTGGCCATTTCTGGCGATCCTTGGCCGCTGTCGTATACAATACAACCGATATAAATAAGAAAAGTTATAACGAGAAAAATATCTTTCCCCTCAACGGTTGTATGCAATTGTACGTCTATTTGTTTTTTTTCAGTTAACAATCGTTTCTTGTAAGATATATTCTGAAATCATAACAAGAAGATATTAGGATCATGAATAAATTAAATCAATATAAAATAGAGATCGACCAATTATATATTACTTATGTGTAGAATACAGAAGACATTGTTATGAAAATGAAGCTTGCGAACAAAGTGAACAAATTAGTAGTCTTCTACTTCCAGTACCTCTCAATGAACTCTACTATTGGAATAGTTTTGTAGTTTTCGTGAGTTTCAAGTGGTATGGAAGCAAGAACTGCTCGTTGGTTTTATAGCTAGGGTTTTCAATCAATTCCTTCCTATTATCGGAAAGGATATCAACCCAAATCATGTCAAATCAATTAGAGTCCTATCATGACTCTTATTCCTTGTATTTACTTAATAAAGGCCCTTAATTGATTGTATGTAATTAGGATTCCAATATGTTTATTTCCTTAAGGCACTGAGAGTCCTAAAGATTTCATTAACTTGTATGCCAAGTCAACTATTCTCTCAATAATTCTCGGCATAATTCATTGTCATTCACAAAATGGTTTTACATTTCTATCATTGGATACTGCAAGTGCGTCTCTCTTTCTCTCTCTCTCATCACACGATCCGGTACACTTCAAATTTTCTTCTTGCGGACCACCTAAGAAGTTAACACTGCTGAGTTGTGTAGATTGATTTTTTTGTCCAAATGATAGAGACGGGGATGAAAATGTCTTTCTATCACAAGGGAAGTTTTGGTAGCAGTACAAGCACCGCGTGTTATATCCTACGGTGGGGGAAGTTCTAATGTCCGGCCGGCCTGTCTAGATAAGATTCTTCCATTTTTCTCTCCGTATGCGGCATTAGACTCGTAAAACCCGGCGTATTAAATTCCACACTCCTCAAAATTAATACGCCGCACATAGAGGGGAGGGCAAATAGAAGAATCCCTGCCCACGTAGACAATGGACTGGAATCAAAGACTATGCTAGTGAGTATTCTATGTACTCACTTTCTAATTTACCCTAATAAAAAAATATCACGTGTTTTTTATTTTTTATATTCAAGAAAAATTCCTTAATTATTTTTTAATTCGTTAGGTAAACTACTTTAAGAATTGCATAACGGAAAACAACTTCTATGATTGATTCCAAGTCGTTTCTAAGTCAAATAGCTGACTAGTGAAACAATAAAGAATCATAAAATTCATAACTACCAACGAAGCAACAAAGTGTAAAAAAATACTACTAAATTGATGCGGAACGTTTAAACAAAAAGAAAAATCATTTTAATGCACCTTTTTAATCTTGTTTGAGAGATAAATGAGGTGTTTCTTACTGATATTATCGGTTGTACGATACTAAACAACTTGCCTAATAAAATTATGACGTCAACAGTTGAAGGAGAATTCGAGATGAGACTGATTGAGAGTGATACAAACCTTAGCCTTGCCAACTGCATTCTTTTAACTTTTAACACAAAAAATATCAGAAAAAGAAACCTTGAATGGGATTTGGATCCTTGCTGGATCCCTTCCCTGGAGATCATAGGGATCAACACACGTGAACGGTTGATTAAAAATCGTACGGTCACAATTAAATGTTTTTTATATTTTTAAAAGTGAAGTAACTTCGTTTTACGTGAAAAATATAAAAAATACAAAAATTATAATCCGCACCATTTTTTATTAACGGTCCACGTTTATTGATCTATAAAATCCTCAGGAGAGGATCCGGCGAGGATCCAAATCCTGAATGGACCTGACTCAAGTTGCTGGATTCGGTGCCATTCCACCTGTCCCCCACTTTATTTCTTTGTTTTGTCTCATTCGATCAAATATGTCCAGTTTTCAGACATGGGAGGGACAAATGTTTTGCTACAAATAAACCAGACTTCCTCACGCAAGGGCAGTGAACAGACTGGCGAGGAGGGGAGAGAGACTTACACGAAACAGAACCGTGAAGATGTTAAGATGTCCGTGTCTCGGACCAATTCATACAATGTTTTGCGGAATAGCTGAAACATTGACGACACGTGAATAAGCTGTTTCAACGTTTCAATTTCATGCAAGTTTCAAAAAAATGAACTTGGTGGTTTTTGAACAAATGTTTTCCTTATTTTTCCATGGGAAATTTGTCAGAAATTTCCATCTGTGCTTTAGATATTTCTTACCTATTTTCATTTAATTCCCTCCAAATAAGCCAATATTACACTTAACTAAAACAGATAAGAACCAGCTAATTAGCAATTAAACCACCGCTAATTAGTAATTAAAATCTATAAGAAGGGAACGTTTAATGAGGTGCATGCATTGAAGACCAGCCAGCAATGAAAACTGAATTGCTTCGCTGTCGCAGCACAGGGTAAAACTTTCCTGTGTACAGGAAAAAAAAAAAAAAAAACCAGCATGCTAAACATGATTGGGGATAGTGGAAGGAACAAAGTTGGCATATCACTTTCTCAAATATCTAATTTGACCCTATATAATGGCCCTAGATTTATTTCCATTTATTTCACAACCCTAATAATCAAGAATTCATCGTCTTTACTTTGTCGAGAAAGTTTAAGTTTAAATTTCATTGTTAATTATTAAAAATATTATAAGAGCGAAAAAGATGTTTGGGTTTAAATTTCATGAACAATAGTTGTTAATCACTAAAGATAATTACAATGGAGAAATCAATGGTTATTTGGTCTCTACTTTGTCGGTCTGAGTTTAAATTTCATGAACGATAATCTAAGTTAGATGAAACAAGAAAGAAAATGCATTTTTGAAGCAAATTAACATATGAAATATTTACATTGGAATTCTAGAAAAACAAGCTCATGTTCAGTCCTATCAGTTCCCTCATCATTAACTTAAAAAACCCATTTCTCATATTCCCAATTAGAGCAAGAAAAACCGACCCAAAATTTACCCAAATCCCAAATTGTTACTGTATCCAAGTGAAAAAGAGAGTTCCTCTGTTTCACATATTTACCTTTTAATCCTCTGCTTTTTACCATTTTCACCTAGACAGAGAAGGGAAGCAACTTCCCGAACGAACAAGCGGCGGGCTGCGAACCCCTTCGACTTCTCCGAGGGTAGTACTGGAATTTGACCTCAGGGCTCTCGGAGTATCCAAGCTCCGCCGGAAAACCCGACCCATGGCTAAGATAGGGTGCTCTGTTTCTTTCTGCGACCGGAACTTTTTGCAGAAATTTATGTGGCGGTTCAGGGCTTCTTCGGTGGAGATGAGCCTATCTGATCGTAGAACTTCGTCTTTCACCGCCTCGACGCAGAGCCCGCAAATCCAACGGCCCTGATAGCGGTCTCGGACTCGGGAGATGTAGGCTGGGGTGCAATCCTCTGTGAACCCGCAGGAGGCGCATTTTACGCACTCGACTTCGATTGGTGGAGGAGCTGGGGATGGTTTGGTTGAGGTTTGGTGCTGGGAGTCTGTCCCGGTTATAGCCATGGACTGTGGTAGAACATTGAACTCTCTCTCCTCTCTCTCTCTGTTTTATCTCTGTTTTTTTCGGAACAGAGGAAAGAGAGAGAAGAGGTCTATGTTATGTAGATGTGTGTGGAGAGAGAAACTTTCCTCCAACGGGAATCTAGTCTGGCAACATTTCCAGTCAACCATGTATGGTCATATGTTTTAATTATTTTATATATTAATACGTGATGGATTTAAAATACTGCTACATCGACGTTTTCGTTACCCAAAAGTTCTTTCTCTTCTCATTGTGGGTGCCTACGTATTTGTATGCAATTAAATTGTAGCTATATATTAGGGTTTGTGTCATGGATTTTCTTACTATCTGGTCAGGACTTAAAATGGGATTTTCATCATTCTGTGACATTAGGTGGACAATGGGTCATGGGAAATTTACGAGACTCACGGCCATAATTTGGGCAACTATCATTTTTTTTGTTTTGGCCAAAATTTGGTAAATTCCTTGAATATCTCATCATTGAAATTTTATGTCTATATCTTATGAGAGATTTGGCATGGAAAGGGTGATATGCTGTGTGCCTATCACAATGTAAGATCTCGTGCGGTGGTAAAGTTAAGTAGTATGATTGAATAGAATAGTGATTAGGGTTGGTTTGGTTGGATAAGAGCTAATCTCATCATAATATAATCATGTGTATTGTTGTGATTAGGGTTACTTCGAGAAGTGATTAGGATCTTTGCACTCCGAACCCAGTTCAAATTTGGCGGTTTTTTTTATAATCAAAATAGTTTCTGAAATTGACATAACTCGCTCATTTTTTGTCTCTAAGATTTAAAATCAATAGAAGTGATCATGAGATTACCCATCGTCAATTATTTTCATTATTCTGTTAAAAATAGCCGTCAAACTGAAAAAACCATCAATTTAAGAGGAGGGGTTGATTTGACAAAATTACCCTCAATTTAATATATATTTCTCACAGAAGAACTAAAATGATTGATGATGGACAATTATAGATCACTTCTATCGACTTTAAATCTCAAGAATCAAAATAAAGAATTATGACAATCTTAAAGACTATTTAGAAAGAATATTTTGTGTAAGCAAAACTTTATCAAACTCAGTTTTCCCATCATCTTTGAAAGCCATTTGAGATCGTTAGATTACCACCATATCATTTTTATTAAGGAAAACTAATGAAAAGGACTTGAAAACTTTGAGTTTTAATGATAAGGACAAAATAAAGGGTAAAGTGAATAGTACCAGGATTGACTTTTTAGTATAAAAATGTGGTTTTTCGTTAAAGTGAACAGTACCGGGTGCTTTTCGTTAAAGTTCCCTTTTTATTATGAACATGCTGTGGTTGATTTGACGATTTGATATGAACATGACCCGAAAAATAAACCTTATCCGAGGCGAAAAGGAAATAAAAAAGAACAAAAATCTTATCAATCACATTTCATATGTGAGATAGCAAATCCCAGTTCTTCGTCATGAATCCATGATTAAATAAAAAGTAGAATTTCAGAGTTCTATATTCTGAGTTTTAACCATTAAATCTTGTCAGTATATCTTCGACCACATTCTAATAATTAAAAAATTCGGGAATATATTGTAAAATCCCGCCTGTTTAACCCTAAAGTCATGTTTGGGATGCAAGTTTTTGTGAGAAAAGCAACGAGTGGACTGACTTTCTCTGTCTCTGTATAGCATTATCCTGACAAGTGCAGTTTTGTTGCTCATAAAAAATATGAAGTCACAAAACATTGTGAATGTTCTCACATTTATCATCGTTATGGCTCTCAATATTCTTCGAGATACGCCAAACAGGCTTCATGGCTCTCAAACATTTTCTCACCTCATTTTCTGGCATTTTGTTGGCATGGTTGCTTGCCTTCTCTCTCTAAATCTACTTCTTCTCCCCAGTATCACCGGATTCACTTCACCTCCCTCCACCTTCCCTCCTTCCCAAGAACAACATATTAAAGGTTTCATAATCATTTCGTTTTCATTTTAAGTTCTCAAACAAAAAGCTCATGGCCCATTTCATAACCATTTTTTTTTACAGTTTTCATTTTCATAAAACCGAAAATGAAATAGTTAGCCAGCTCAAAGCCCGTTCCATAAATGATTGGTAACAAAAAACTGAAATCCTTAAAGAAGCTTGTGGTATGCTCTTAGGATGGGTAGCTTCCCCTCCCCCTAAACATTTTTCTGATTAAGAAAAAAAAAAAAACTGAAAACCGAAAATGAAATGGTTAGCAGACAGGTTGTGAGATTTCCGTTTTAAGTACTTTAACTTGAAATTCTGGTGTTTCTTTCTTTCTAATTTTTATTAAGTTTTTGGGTTTGTGTAGAAAGTGATTAAACTTGGGGATGGAGTGCTTCTGAAACCAGATATTGATGTGGATAAGGAAGGCACACTCTATACAGCTACAAGAGATGGTTGGATCATAAGGCTTCACACAAAAGGGAGTTGGGAAAACTGGAAGAAGGTGAATAGTGATACAGTTTTTGGAATTACATTCACAAAAGATGGTGATCTTGTTACATGTGATACTGATCAAGAGGTAAGAGCATCACATTCTGACCAGAAAATGGACAAATACTTTGTGTAACCAGAGATTTATTTCTCTGTCTCGATATCACTCATCACTTGACTACTCGATCAACATACTGAGTCACCTAATGGGCATAATAAAGCGATGGGGTAAACTCTTTAAAACCTAAACCTCGGATCACGCGTAAGAATTTACACTGTAAAACTGGATTTTGCATTGTTTCCCCTTGTATAAACTGGTACCTGTTTAGCTCTCTAAAGCCTGTGGTCTGGTTGCTGTAATTTGTGCAGGGTTTGCTGAAGCCTGAAGGTTACTGAAAATGGTGTCAAGGGTTTCACATGTTAATGGGTCCAAAATAAGGTTAGACTGCTTTCCACTACACAATCTATTACATGTTCTTTTAGGCGAATGTCTTGAAACGACCTACTTTAACGCGTCTCTTTGACCATTTTTAAACCCAAGAAGAGACCAAATGTTAGATATGTGGAATTTTTCACATGCAAAAAGAGTTGGAATTGTATACATATGAACAAGTAAACAACAGGTAGGGATTTCTGCACTCGTGTTTTCTCCTCGCAATCTTTTTTAGGTTTTATGATATTTGAATGGAATAAATAAAAAAATAAAAAAATAAAAAAAAATAAAAAACAAGAGTGAAAATCATTATCTATGTACAAGCGCCTGCAATATTTACCGAGACGAAGATTTACCTCCAGGTAAAAACTAGATGAACAAGTAAGCAGTGGTTCGATACAACTTTGGAAAATGACTGGAGGCGCCTGCAATATTTACCAAGACGAAGATTTACCTCCAGGTAAAAACTAGATGAACAAGTAAGCAGTGGTTCGATACAACTGTGGAAAATGACTGGAGAGAGAGAGAGAGAGAGAGCAATATGTTCACTTGGAAAGAAAACATCCATATGCAAGCCATGCCAAATACAATTATGATGTGACACCACCAGAACAATACAAATAAGGTCCTCTTGTTACATATTAATTGCAAGGTGTGGCAGTTGCATCGTGACTAAAAGAATGATTTACATGGAATAAATTTGTTGTTATGTAAATATTTTAATCAATAATGTGGTGTTATGTGTAATTTTTTTTTAATAATAATGATTTATTATTGAATTAAAATGTTGTAATAACGGTTAATTCGTTTCATATAAACTATTTTGTAAAATAAAACTATTAAGTAAGGAATCTTTTTCTTTATATTTGGGACCGATTGCTACATGTTCTACAAACATCATGGTTTGTTGGTTTGTAAGATAAATCCATGACTGTTGCCATCAAAGTCTGGTGGATTTCATTTAGATATTTTCATATCTCTGAATTCTTTTTTTTTTCTTTTCTTTTTGGGTCCTGTTTCATTAACTCTCATTCAACTAAAGAGAAATAAAAAAAACATGATTCAATAGAGACCATGTTGAAGTTGAAGTGATGACTGATGAGTGATGAGCCTCCAACCCTACAACTATTCTACCTGTATTTTTAATGAAGAAAGGTATGTAGCCTAGGAAACTGGTTCATTTCAAATGATTAGGTATTTGTGATACTCTTCCTGAAGGAGTATGATTCTCTCATCTCTTAATCTTCTTCCCTTTTCCTCCTCTCATATTTGAATGATTATGGTTAAATCATGTCAATGTTTTGTGTTAGTTTTTAATAACCAAAAGAAGACAAAAATAAATTTGTGAGATGATGGGAGAGGAGGGGATGAAAATATGAGAAGAGAGAATCTTACTCATTTTCTAAGGAAAGGCTTATGGTACAACAAAGTTGTTAATCGGTACTTGTGAAAACCCATTTAATTTGATATGTCTATAATATAGAAATGAAATTAGTAGTGGTGATGATAGTATAAGGTGAAATCAAACAGAATTGGTCTTAATGAGTATTCATTAACAATCCAATAAGTTGATTTGTCACATGTGACTGTTGGACCAAGGTTTGTTTTGTTGCCTTATGGGAATAAGACATGTCATTTGAGAAGAGGTGTATCAATGCCTGTAAGTATACCAATAAGTCATCCACTTCATATTATTCAATTTTTTTTTTTTAGGAAAACTAATGAAAAAAACTTGAAAACTTTGAGTTTTAACGATAAGGATAAAATAAAGGGTAAAGTAAATAGTACCAGGATTGACGTTTTAGTGTAAAAATGTGGTTTTTCGTTGAACAATACCGGGGGTTTTTCGTTAAAGTTCCTTTTTTTTCTCATCCATGAGTTATATTGTGATATATTATTGTTCTAAGAATTTCTGCCTGGCGTCGTTTAGGTCCGGCCTGGCGTTAGGAGGTTGGCCACCGTTTCGATTAATCATTAGGCGTTTGAAAATTAAGAAATGGAGCCTCAACCTCTTTAGGCGTCCACCTAGCCTGCTTAGGTGCCCGACTTGTCCGCCTAGACCCACCTAGGTCCTTACTCTCACTTAGACAGAACATGGTAACTTTTATTTTGCATTTTATTTTTGTTCAATAAATTGTAAGAAACTTGTTGAATACTTGAATGAACATTCATTATCACCATATTTTCAATATGTTCTAGTATTTTAATCTAATGTCATTTTATTTTGCAATTTATATATTCTAATATAAGTATGTATTTTTTAAGTATAAATAGACACTTAATTATACGATATATATATATATATATATATATATATATTTACTTAAGGACATAGTATCAAATACTAAACTTGATTTCAAGTTTCAGATTTTCTAACACATATTCATATGCATTTAGTAATGTTTTTATTTAAGAGTTTGTAACTGATTTGGTTTTTAATTGCATGATTTATTTCATGCATTTTGTAAGTGATACATATAGCAATTTAACCTTAATTTTTCCAACAAATTGTCCCACAACGAAATTTAGTACATAACATATTTAACTATGTTGCAAATTAGTACTAAGGTCTAGTGATATTCTTTTTCACTTGTCAGTGAGAGGCCTTAGGTTCGATTCTTGCTAAAGGCGAATTTGAACCACATTATTGCTAACTTATTGTGAGACTAAACCCACTCCCCCCTTAGTGTAGATAATATTATTTGTTCAAAAAAAAAAACTTATTTAACTATGTTGAGTACTAAAAGCATTCATTTTGTCACTTATTACTATGGTCTAGTGATATTCCTCTATACTTTTAAGTGAAATGTCTTAAATTCGATTCTCATCAAAAACGAATTTGAGCCATATTATGCTAGCTTATTGTGAGGCTTAGCCCACCATCTCCCATTAGTGTAGATAATATCGTTTGTTAAAAAAAAAAAGCATTCATTCTGTTACTTATTATTATGGTCTAGTAGTATTCCTATATACTTGTAAGTGAAATGTCTTAGATTCGATTATCGCCAAAGACGAATTTTGAACCACATTATGCTAGCCTATTGTGAGGCTTAGCCCACCCCCTCCCTTTAGTGTAGACAATATCGTTTGTTAAAAAAAAAAAAGACGCATTGATTCTAGGGAACTTTAATGAAAAGCTCCCGATACTGTTCATTTTAACGAAAAACCACATTTTACACTAAAAAATCAATCATGTTACTAGTCACCTTACTCTTTATTTTGTCCTTATCGTTAAAACTTAAAGTTTTCAAGTCATTTTCATTAGTTTTCCTTTGATTCTACTTGTTCTTGTGCGTGGCTTTAGGGCATGTCTCTACTGGTTCTTGTGTGCTGCTTTAGGGCATGTCTCTAGCTATATATCTATTTATCCTAGCATTTCTCAAAACTAAAAAGAGATGGATTGTCTGCCCTTCCATCCCATGCATTTCCTATCCCCTCTTATTTTCTATGGTTACAGTTAAACCACGTCAATATTTTATATTGATTTTTTTTATAGAAATAATAAGACAAAAAACAATAAGAATATAAAATATTGACGTAGCTTAACCGTGACCACATAAATATGAGGGGTAGACAATCCATCTCCAAACTAAACACATAGGCCCAGTAAATGAACATATGTTGACGTTAAACTTCTTAAGAGGGACAAACCCTTACTTTTCTAAAGGATTAATTACAATCAGAATGCAGATGATGTAACTGAGGGACCAGATGGCATGTTAGTCTATGTTTTAGTGTTGCAAGCACCAAATTTGGACTCCATAATTGGTATCTGGACGTGCTAGAGGCAAAGGCCCATGGGCAGCTGCTCAAGTATGATCCCTCGTCTGGTGAGAATTCAATTCTACTTGATCATTTGGGTTTTGCTAATGGAGTTGCAGTGTCAAAAGACCAGATTATCTGCTGGACTTTGAAACATGGAAGTAAGCTTGATGCAGCACTTCTTTCTCACCCTATACGCCCGTTTGGTGCGCTAGGTGGTATTGAGTTGAGGAGAATTGAATTGGCGAGACTTGTAAGTTGTAACTCCAGTATAATGATACGTTAGATAACCAACGGGCGATTAATAACCAATTCCATGCACCCAATTCGACCATGTTGATAATATTGAGTTTCATGCTTAGATTTAGGTGCTCGAGGCATCGGCTGGTGAGAGACAAGGGGAAGACAGAGATCTTTGTTGAGAATCTTGCTGGTGGACCTGACAACATTTGTCTTGCTCCAGATGGGTCTTTCTGGATTGCTCTACTTCAGGTAATACAACCTAATTTTATGCAAAATTAGTGAATAAAAGGGCTTCCAAGATTGGGCTCGGGATTCACCACACTTCCCAGAAGCTCGCAAAGCTCGCACAGGGTATGTCAAAATTTCTTCTCTTTCCCAAATCAATGTTTTTTTTTTCTTTTTCTTTTTGGTAAAATCTCAATTACATATGATTGATTAGTGTGTTAATTATGCTAATATATGTGTCAATTGGGATTAATATGCTTAATTAGTGTGTTAATTATGCTTAGAGAGAATCAGGATGCTAAGCAAAAGTTTGTGTTGGAATTAGAATATTAATAAACTGGTAATTCATGGCTATACTTGTATATACAATATGGACAAATAAAATCATTACAAACTTTTATTCGAAAATAAAACTTGATGACGCTAAACAAACAATAACCCGTAATAAACCACGATTTGGTGCACTTTATGTTTGTCTAGCGTCCATCTGGTTTAATAGGACTCGCTGACATTTGGAGCGATCCCTGCTGATATATTTGCTTTGGTATTCGCCAATGGCGAAAAGGATATGGGTGTTTGATGATCCGGCTCTGGAGGTCCAAGAGCTGAAAGGTGAGTAAAAGAAGTTACAATATGTTTGGATGAGAGAAATAAACATAGAATTTTGGTAAAAGTCAAAATTTATAAATTGACAAGCACCAATTCTCTTATTTGGATTCATAAATATAGAAATTTAGAATTTCCGTATGGAAAAAAAATTTGGAATTTGGGACCTCCAAAGCCCAAGTTCAAATTCCATGTAAATATGTGTCATTTCTCAATTTTTATGATTGAGAGTTTAAAAATAACAAATTCCATATTCAATTCCATTGTTCTTTTAGGTTAACCAAACAAGAAAATTTACAAATTCTAGAAAATAAAATCTCGTCATTTTAATTTCCGTCATTTTAAAATTTCTTAGTAATCTTAAATTTCTTCATCCAAATGTAATGTTAAAGTTGCAATGATTAACTTGTATATCTCTGAAAAGTGAGTAGAGGACTCCACGTCAAATTGGATTTTGTTTGGATTAAAAATGGGTAAATTACATTTTACCCCTTCAATTTTAGGGTCGATTTCAATTCCTTACAACATCTTTAAAACATTTCACTTTCATACCTCACGTACTATTTTATTTCAATATAATACATTTGTTACATTTTTCATCCATTGGTCTGTTAAGAGCTAACGTGGCTGCCACATTTGTGCTGATGTGGCTACCATGTGGCAAAAAAACAATTTTTTATACATTAAAAATATTATAATTATTAACCCTATTTAAAAAAATAAAAAATAAAAAAACCAGAAAAACCCAAACCCAGAAATCCTTCCCCGCAACCTCACATCCCACCCCCACCCCTACCCATCACTTCTTTCCTGTCCGTCCATCCCTTCCACCCCTCTACCTTTCCATCCTCTCCACCCGAGCACCACTAAGCACGGGTCCCACCTCGACCTCTCTTTCTCTTTCTCCCCCCTCACTCTCCTCTATAAAATGTGAAATTTGAGATGCGG